TACCTACAAGAAAAGAATATAAGCAATATTCTCACTCTCTGGTAGATAGGAGTGTGTCAGGTAATGTACATAAAGTACCAGGTAAAATGTGGGCAAAATGGCCTTTACTAAATTTCAGTTGTCTTTCTTGAAAGGTTTCCTACTCATTTCCTGGGAGATAATCTTTTCTACGTGGAGCCCTATGGCAAAAAGGGGCATAAATTGAATTATTCTTCTTAGTATCTTAAAATGTTCGGTTTTAACTGTTGTGAGAAAGAAATGGAAAACCTTCACTTCCATATAATTCTTCTTGCCAATTACTCCTCAAATTTGCTTAGATTTATCATGGCTTTCTCAAATACGTTTTTATGATCTCCTAGTCCAGGATAATGCTCTGGATAAACAATGAGAAAGGCATTATTTCTATGGTTAAGAATATGTGGAAAATGCTACACAGTATAATTCTTTCTACAAGAAATCTTAAGATTATATTAATATATTGAAGCCTCCAAGAAATTCCAGGCAAATAAATTAGTACTATTTAGTCCTAAAGTGTACAAATTTAGGAGATAAACTAAATTTGAATCTTGATTCTGTCAGTAAGTAGCTTACAGTTTGGGGAAGATGTTCAACTTATGTGCCTCAGCCTTCCTCAATGTGTGCTGGGAATAACATTACACACCACCCAGGTTTGAGAAGTTGTAATGAGATACAGCAGAAGTTTAGAAGAGATGAACCAAGTTGATTGTCAGTAACACACATCATTATAAAAGTCTGCTGAAACTCTTTACCGTGACTCTACAAACTATGTCTTGAGTATCTTCCAGAACAACTATTCTTTGGCATATATTTTGAACAGCCTTATAGTACAATTTTATGGTACTGACAAATTCTAGCCACCTGAAAAAAAGGCATTCATCATATTAATGCCCAAGAATGCTACACATAAAATCGGCTATCTGACGACCTATTCCACTAACAGAAGTTCTGCAATAACTTAAGAGCAGTGCTGCGAAGGGTAAAGATGTCACCTTGTGGGTGTCCCAGGCATTGGAGCCATGGGCATCCATTGCCTACATGAGTCAGTAGATGAGATCAGTTTATCACATTAGGATATCCCCATGTCCATAAATACTGAGCCCTTAGAAGAACAGAAAACCAAGTGGTGAAAGCTTTAGTGATTAACAGAAAGGCAGAGTGTGTGGCTGAAGGAAGGTGAGGTCTCCAAAGAGAAAACATATTATCGAGATCGTAGATTAATGTTTTCATTTTTCCTAGGGCAAATTTTCAACCATGTGAGTTTTCAAAATGGAGAAATAAAACAGTAAAGAGGAGAAAACATAAGTGCTTCATCCGAGGAAAAGTATGTTCCAAATTCATAACAAAATGCTAAATCCTCTCAGGTCTAATACTGCAAAAGTTGCAGTAAAATCATTCTACACTTTTCTTGAGATGCTTAGCAAAAAGACCATTAAAATGAGGAGTGAACTAGTTACACTAACAACTTCAAGGACTTTTATTTTCAGCTTTGTGACTATTTCAGACTGCTGAATTCTATTGATTCATCTTGTTTACTATCATAAGAAACTCAAGAAATAAATATGGAATGAAAAAATTAGTTCATTCATAATTATATTATCTCAACAATTGGAAACTATTTTCAATTAATCTTGTTCTCTTAAATCTTCATTATAATAATACATCATTTTGACAGAAGCTATCTTATGTGGAAATATAACTTAAGTGCCCATTTTCTCCACTGAACATTTTATGTTATACAATTTCTCTCGACAATACATAAAACTTTTAAAATAATTTTTAAGTGTTAATATTCTTTCATGAGCAAACACGAAATGATTTTTAATTATGTTGTGTTACAGTTAAGTGTCTTTAGTTTAGAGTATTTTATTTCTAAAGATCAGTGATTTTCAAACTTTGCACATGTCAGAATAATAGGAGCCCTTGTTACACCCCAGGTGTTGGGCTCTAATCTTGAAGTTTCGGATTCAGTTTCTGACAAATGATTTCATACTCGAGCCCAGGTAGTATCAACTAATTGAATGAGCAAAAGCACAAGAGAAAAATTCCTGCTTCTCTCCTCCCAGAAATCAAGACCTTAGACCACTGCTCCATTTATGTATATTTCAAAGATACATTATCATGACTGATTATAAGTATTCAAATCTCTGCTACCGCAGAAATTTGTAAGGAGATTTTATCATCACCATGTAAATTCAAAGACCAACTGAAATACACATAGTCTATCAGGACAGTAAGTGCTTATCTGCATGATATAGATACAAATTAGCTACATTTGATAGTTTAACGAACAATGTTGCTTAGTGAAAAATATGGGTTAAAGCCTGGCTTTTGGAAATTGTGTTTGATTGAGTAACAACAACAACAATAACAATAAAAATTCCCCTGTGCAGAATTTTTAGGACATTTGCATAAAAGTAAAGTAAAAAGCCTCCAAAGGTTATATATATATATATATATATATATATATATATATATTTGGATGGAGATTAATTCCTTTCCTATAAGTGGAAATGTATTTATGCAGGCAAATGTGATCATCTGCATGTAAATACATTTCAGATTTAGCAGAACTGTTTCACCTTACATTAGTTTCTAGAAATCAAAAGGTAAAGCATAGGCTTCACAAACTTACCCTATACAGACAATACCTTTCTAAATCTTTTGCTAAAATCTGTACACGGTTTTACAGTTTTGTGATTTTGACCTCTCATCGTTGTTTAGATGTACAAAGAGAAAGTATGTCCACACACATACTTAATCATACAACAATAAACAGGTTGGATTCAGGCTAACAGTGCCAGGTCTGGCTTACAGGAAGAGGAGTGAATCAAGCATAACTGTTAGAAATGGGCTTGCGTGTGACTTTCAGAGGGGTTGTTCTTTGGAAGTCAGTGTGGTGATAATTGTGTTTAAGAGTAAAGCTAATAGTCCTAATATGCTTAAAGGGCCCCACTTTGTTTTTGCACTGGACAGGTCCAGGGTGACTATTGCCTCGGTGGGCAGAAATCTAGGGGACAAATGTGAAGACCTTGCACATTTTGTTGTCTGTGTTTTTTATAGACCCAATACAGATAAGCATAGCCAGGTGACTATGACCATATAAGTGTCATTTTTTAAAAAACACAACAAATTTTAAAGTATGACATAAAGTGCAAACAAAAAATATAGAGCTGTTTTAAAGATGGAGAGGTGATCATCCTTTTACTGTGGGTGGGAACTTAACTACAGGGGCTTATTATTTAACACAGTTGTCCAAAACAACACAGTTAATCATGTATTGGCAACAGCAACCTTAAGATAGTTTAAAAATCAATTCAGTACTCTGAGGTCTTTTCAGAAGTAAACGCCAGCTCCTCATAATGCACTGGAACACAATGACAATCGTTAACAAGTTGCTGATTCATAAACTCATGTAATGTGTACTTTCCCTGAAGATACGAGGTTACATGAAAAAAGAAAACCATCTAACTTATTAAGCATGTGTTTATTAACATTTCTATTTTAAAAAGAACCTTTATAAAATGAATAAAGATTCTAGGCTCTAGAGCCAGTATTCAGAGGGAGACTGACTCTCCTGAGAACGGTCAGTCTGGTAGAATTTTAAACCATCCATGGAGATTCTAACTCATCATTATTTAATGTGGTGAAGTGAAAGCAAGCAGCTAAGCCTAAAAAATATGTTATTTTTTCAATAAAGAACAACAATAACAAAATAGGCACCTCAGGAAATTTTGTTTCTTAGTGAGACTATTTACCCATATTTATTCTCAACATCTAAAGTAATATTCTTATAGCCCTTTGGCTGGCATTTCACAGCAGAGGAGCAATTATGTCCTGGAAATCAAAAAAAATCTGTAAACTCTGACTTAAAATTAGGTCAAAATACACAATGATTGATATTGTTATGTTTTAAAGGTAAATGATGATAAAATGGTTCTTCACATTCATGTGTCACAGCCATTAAAAAGATCTGTCATACAAATAATTTTCAGGTAAAAGTTGAAATTAAGAAGATGTTTCAGCAACAAAATTTCCATTGATTCACAAAAGAGACTTGACTATTTTAGAAATGTTCACTGATTGCACTAGATTCACACATTCAAATCATTCTGCTCTGTAAATAATAAGCAAGGGGTACCTAATTCACTCAAATGAGAACAGAAACAGCTCCTTTAAATTGTAATCTCTACTCTTCAGGAAATGACTCAAAAACAGGCAGAAAAAATACTTTTACTGTAGGTGTCTGGTATCAGTGCTACATTTTTGATTTCCTTATATTTTTCAAAAGAGGAACTGATAGTCTTAGCAGAAGTCACAATCTCATTATCTTCATATTTAACAAAACAGATTCCCAGTGAAAGGCCTGAACTATTGTTTTTACTAAGCCATCCATTATAACATAAGACTATTTGAATTTAAACCAGGACCACTATAAAATGAACAAGGGAGTAACAAATCAGTCATTGGTCTGCACTCTTTTCTAACTCAGAAGACTCCATAAGAAATGAGTCACTGTAATAAAGCTCTCCTTCCTCTCACATATACTTCTTGAAAAAACCACCTTGGAAAATTCCAAAAGGTGCCCAGAGCCAATAGGATGATCATTTCCATAACACAAGGCACGGAAAAGCAGGGAACAATGCTGTTCCTGTTCCCCATACAGGAGAGGAGGCCAGGGCCGTCCTTTTGAAACTAAATGCTTACACAAAAGTGAATATTCTTTTCTTTATTGTATTTGACCCCACTATCTCTTTAAATGTTTGTGTAAATGCAGAAAATATAATTGTATTTATTTAGTCCTCAGTAATCCATGATTGTGCATACTACTTTTTTAAAAACTTCATGCTTTATGCTTCATCCCTACTGTAACTATATAAGGAAATTTCTGCTGAGCTTTTTATTATATTTCTCATCATATTTTCCCAAGTCCTGAATACCCTCCTAAAACAACAAGATGGGAAGTAAAAGTGAGACTTTACCCTGATGAAGAGAATCTTCTCTCCCACTCGGTATCTCCCCTGGGAGAGCCGCTCCACGCAGAACTTGCTTGGACACTTGCAAGGAGGATCCTCCGAAATTCGCTTCACCTAAAATCCAAGAGCAAGCTGTTCATGTTCCTTTATCAGGCTTTGGGTCGGGGAGTCCTCCACCCACAGATTCCCAAGTCCCCATCATCAGTGTCTTTAACCTTGGCTATAGCTCTGGACATGACATGAACATAAGACCGTCTCTCATAACAATGCAAAGGGCAAGTCCTGATGCTCAAAGATGATGGTGATAGTGCCAACAGATTAACCAATCGAGATCATAGGAATAATGAGCTGGGATCCTGTTTCTGGACAACTAAAGGATCACACACACTGTACTGACCAGGGCAGTCTATGGATAACTGCAAGCAAGTGTTTGTATGTTACATAGACTGCAAATTAGCTTAGAATGAATACTGGTAAAACATAGATTATGTGTTTCCTTGGTACAATTTAACTACATTAACCTAACTCATAGTCAAAATAAGGGAGCAATAATTTTCTTAAATGAGTCCTATGTTTCATCTTCTTTTGAATGCTAAGATATTTTCTAAGATGTCTTCTCTCTTTGACTTAGATTTGCCCTACAATTCACTCATTTTAGTGACTTCCACCTACCCCATTCTCCTTCTATGGTCAAATCATGGAATTTTTCTGCATCTTATGAAATTTAGGCTTGAATGTCAAATTTTTGCATGATGTACACCTATTTTCTTTACTCTTTAAAATACATAATCTAAATGATATTGCACAATGCTTATAATACTGTCAAATATAATAGCATCAGAAGATAATGTAGCAGTTGGTGGTTTTAGAAATGAAACTTTGTGTATGATTTTCCTGATTTCAGGTTTCATAATGATCCTTCCTTATTGAATCAACTCTCCAACCTAAAACAATAATCTGTGTTTCAAAAAGAAGTTTCCATGGGAGGCTGTACACAGTCTGCAGCTTGTTTTTGAGACACTAAATAGAACAAATCTAGATCCTGTGCAGTTTAGCCTATATTTTTCTCTGCCAAATTATTCTGCAAGTTGTCAGAGAGAAAGAACAAAGGAACTTTATACTTTTTAGAAGGAATATATCTCCATGTGGAAGATAGCATGGATGTTCTGCGAAATATTAAAAAGACCATTACTACCTTCCTAGATACAGGAAAGGAATCACTGTCAAAGAGGTCCGTTCACTTCCATTTTACTGAAGCATTCATTACTCTTAATATCCAAGCCTCACTGACCATCCATGGATCAATGGATAAAATGTTGTATACCTAAATATATAGTCTACCATTCAGCCACAATGGAGTTGTTCATTTATGACACACACAGCAAACGAACCTGAAGAAAAACCAGGGCACTGCCTGTCACTGAGTTAATGACGGAGAATCTGAGTCCCAGTCATCTTTCTTACCATGTCACACTAGGGCCACAGATGCATGGCCCACTCACCCTACTAATACAGGACATGGTCCTGGAGAGCTTTTGAAAGGATATTATTAAGTATCCCTTATATCTATGATGACACTAAGACAATAGTGAGGAATCTCATTGGATAGGCAGTGGTGCTCATAAAATCAATGGCTGTGTCTGTGTGTGCTGTTTTTGGTGTTTCTGTGTATCTCTGTCCTTATTAATTAAACATGTTACAGATGTGTGTGTGTGTACATATACATTTCTACCATTGCTATAAGTGGCACTGCTAGCCTTTCCACTACAATAAATGCAACTATGATTAAAACAAAGATCAAGGGAAGCAGGGGAAAGCAAAGGAAGAAAACATGGGTCACGCAGAAGAAAATCAGACAGAGGCTCCAAAAGCACAGGACGTGAGATATGAAATTTAAACATCATGACCACGAGCACAGTGCTCCTCACAGTTTACTAAGCAGACATTAACTTGCTGTCCAAGCAGTTCGGTGTCTAAGAAATGACACTGTCCCCTCGCACCATTTGCCTACACAGAAACTATCGGTTTCAAATGAATCAAAGCACAAGGAATACTCTCAAGAGGCCTGTCCTTTTCTAATGGCTTTGTCACTCTGAAAATGGACTTGAGTTTCAAAAGCAAGGCCATTTTTGTCGTAGGAGAGGAGGAGGCAGAAATGAAAGCGTGGGCAGTGGAAGCCCATTGTTAAGTAGACAGAGGCCGGATGACATCTTTGGTTCTTATGTTACCTGGGGATCAGTCAGTCTGGCAGGGTTCTGTATTTCAGCCAGTTTTCCACTGAAATAGGATTTCAAGAAGAGCCTGATCACTCCGAATCATACTGTCTCTCATTCCCAGACGGAGGAAGTGGACGGCGAAGAGGAAGAAAGTAAGAATGGATTCTTAGACCCCTATTCAGCTCACTGTGTGGGAACCAGCTCAGCACGAGGGAATACAAAGAAAAGGACTAAACCGGACCCCAGGATTTATCATAGCTGAATCGCCCTATTGGAACATCTAGGGAATACATTAAGATGAATGGCTCCACTGTGCTTCTTTGGTGATATCTTGATTAAAGAAGCTGGGTTGTTGTATTATCCACGGGAAAGGTCACCTGTTCTTCTTCCCCCCTCAGTATTCCCTTGAGTATCAAGCCAGAAAATGCGATGGAGCACTGAAAGTTGCAAATCTGGCAGTCATTCCTGAAGCTGCTTGCTGAACACCAGGTTCCTTCCCTTGCTTTCTCTTTTCTCCTTTCTTCTTTTTCCCTTTGCTTTCTTTAATCTTTCACATCACCATCACCTCTCTTTTCATGGTTGAAGCTATTTGTACACTCGATCAGTGTATCAGTATTGTGTACACAGAGGAATTCTGCAGACAATCTGTATTTTATACCCATATTTTGAAACACGTATCAGGGTACACCAAGTTAAACTCTCAGGTCTATGCACGCCTCGTATGTGGTGAGAGTTAAATGGCACCCTTTCTATATTAAACAAACGAAGCTCTGATTCAAGTCATTAGTGAGATTCAAATTACTTTTCTCTGTTCTACTGTCTCTGAAATAAGCCCTTCCATGAAAAACTATAACTTAAACAGAATGTGAACTATCCAGTTCAGTTTTCCCTAATATAGGATGAGGGAGACTGTCAGAGACTTCAATGCTCAAATATATTTGGAAAATTCCAGGTTAAACAAGAATCTTATTACTGAACTCAAAAGGGCCTCTGATGTGCCAAAGCGCATTTCCAAACTCCAGGGGGCAACTGAGGTGAGTTGTGTTTCTCGAGCTGACCTAACCATAGGATGCTTCACCCTGTGGAGTGTCTGTTGGTCATGGTGTTTGGTTATGCATTCCTGGAAAAATGCTGAAGACTTACAGGACATAGTATTCTGGATGGCAGTGGTAGAGAAATAGACTTTGCACATTTCTCACATTTAGTAAAACCCCTCACCTACACTAGAGATGATGTTCTCTCTTAAAGAGAGCGTAATGCTTTGTGCAGTGACCACCACTGTTTCCAGCTGGGAAAAGAGACCTTAGACCTGGGGGCAGTGACACAGTTACTGCCTTGTGATCTACAGAAAGCCTGCATCTCAGACAGCTTTGGCTGAATTACAGCATCGATAAAGCCTCCCACAAGTCCTTTGCATAGCTGTTTCACTACCTTCTGATCCTCTTTTTTTTCCCTCTTTTTTTTCTCCCCTAATCTAGGATAAAGGACGCGAGGCGAACTGGTAAAAGTGGGAGCCATTCGAGTGACAACTCCCTGGTTCACATAAGAGGCTTCAAGTGGAAGCATCTCTTTTCTCTGAAAAGCGTGAAGAGGCCTTAAAAGTGCATGCATTTCCAAAGTACATGACCAAACCAGCAAAAGACAGTGAGCTCTTTAAACCTTAATTACTTACACTGATAATGTAGACAACAAAGATGGCATTAAATAGATATAGATTAGCAAAATATGGTCTTTGTTTTTGAAAAATAGGACTTCACTTTGTTAGCAATATGTTTTTGTGCCCAATAAGATAAATAAAGAGCTCCTTTAATATATACAAAATTCTTAAAGTGACAAGGAGTAATCTGCAATTTGACCTGGATGAGGAATTCCAAGAAAAGCTTTATTCAGAAGCTAATGCAACCTGAATCTTGAAATATAAAAAGGTATTTCAAAGTAAATTTAAAAGCAGAAGTCAGAAGGATGGTAACAAAGTAATAATGTCTCTACCACAATGTGGGAAACCCTCTGTGGACTAAGGGCTGATGGGACATGTTGGTGGCCTTGGGTTTTAAAGAGGGCTGTGGGGGGCATCCCCTGAGAGACTTAATTGGATCTGAGTCCAGGGATTTTTGTAGAGAATTTCAAGCATCCAATGATCAACCATGTCAAAGGCCAAGAAGAACTGTCGAGATTTGAGGACTCAAAAAGTTATTTGATTCAGTGACTGGTTCCTGAGGAGGGAAACGGTGACACACAGGCTTCAGTGATGTGGAAGCCAGCTCCCAAGACTTTAAGAATGTGGCCAGAGGTAGAGCTGCGAGGAAAAGTACTTACAACAGGGGTAACAGGTGAGCAAATTCATTGATAAGGGAAAGACTAAAGGGACAGCTTCACCTATAGCAAGTATAAGGAAGGACAGGAAAACTTATTTTTTATTGATTCATAAATAATGTACCATTATCAGCTGTTGGTGCAATGTCATTTAATTTCTTTGCACAATGTGTGACTGATCCTTAAAAGGCCTTTAACATCATTTTGTGGCCTTTATATCCTGAAGGAACTTTCCAGTCAGCCAAAATAAATTAAATTAAAATAGTATTGGTGCTGCTACCCTGATGTTGGGCTAAGTTTAAGTTTGCTGTCTTCATCAGAAATGGGAGCTCTTAATTGTTTGGACTAACTGTTATGTGCCTGCTCACCTAAATCTGCAATGTAGTCATGGAGAAAAAGAAAAGATGCAAAGACGGAGACATTCTCCCTCTCTCTTTCTCCAAAATATCACATCCATCAGTCATTTCCCCACCTCTTTTCAGCTCAGATCTAGAGAAAGAAACCCCAGGTAGGGAGCAGCAGGCCTGATTCTCTGCCATCTCTGTAGAGCTGGCTCAGGGCTGCTGTTAGTCTCTTGGGTCTTTGCAGGAATGCAGAGCCTGCTTTGATCTAATGTCTCTGGCATTATCATTTCCTGTAAAATTGAATTGCAATCAAAAGTCCATAAATTAAAATGTCACATCAGCACCATCTCAGGCACTAATGATTTATCATCCTCACTAGTATTTTTACAGTTGCACTGAAAATATGAGTGTACATGGGAATGAGCATGCATATAATCAAACATGGTAATAATCATAATCAAACAGTGAAGAACAGACAACAGCAGGACTTTCAGAATTTTAATTTATCCTGTTTGCTGTTATACCTAGAGAGCGCTTATTGTGATGACAAGGGTATTATGAAAATATCCCGTAACTGTGACTCAAAGAGTTCCTTGGAGAAACCTCAGAGAGGTTGATAGAATTCTATTGGAATCTAAACTTCTCTAATCAACTTACACAACTTCTAAGATTCCATTTGTTCAACTAAGAAACCTGACTTTCAGACAGGAGAGCTCTGGGTAAAACAATGATAGACTGGCTGATAGAAGACAGTCAATAAAAAAACAGTTATCTTCTCTGTCAAATGTTTTACTTGCTTTTTTTTAACATCCATCAAGATTTTGGGCCTTTGGTTTCTTATCTATAAAAAAAAGGGGAATCCTGAACCAGTAACAGTGAAGCTTAAGTGTTCTCAAATAACATTTTTAAGTTGTTGACTTATTTTCCTAAAATTTTAGATACTACTCCACAGAATCAAGTAGCCTTTTATTACAAAAGATGGATTCAATTTTGAACTTCAAAATGAACTGTAAACCTACAAGCTTTGTCATGGGGGTTTCAAATCAATTTCAAGAAAACTGAAGAAAGATAAAATCAGATTGATAGGAAGTTGCACAGAATACGCTTTGTAGCTGGAAGAAAAGGAATTTCTGGTGAGGATTCTGACCAATTTTACTTACAGCATCATCCAGCAAGTTTCCTGTACTCTTTTTGCCAGGAGACTTTGATGACGGAGAAGGTGAGGGAGAAGGAGCAGAAAGCGTTTCTTCTTGTTCAATTTCTTTTTCCAATTTTATCAACCCAGGAGGCTCCACACCATACCTTTAAAATAGTATCAGGTCAATACGCATGCGTAACTCATCATGATGTGACCACACATTGCATTGGATTTTGAGCACCACTGGAGGAAACTGTTGCCTTCAAAATAATACTAACTATGTCAGGTAGTGAAAAAGTAAGATTTCAAATTAGCATCCTATAAACCAAAGAAAAACATATGCTTGCTTTGTGCATATACATGCATAGATGTGCACATGAATAGGACCACATGATAAAATAAAGTTTGAACGATTTAAGTCAATTCAATACATGAATGGGTCAACAACATGAATAATTGAGATATTTATCCTGAGTTTACACAGTGAGCAGCTTTGACAGTATTTGTACTGCAATTAAATTCCATTTTGAACACAAGTTTGTTAAGTATGGAGAAAAGTAGCACAATTCATAATACTTAGCTGTATAAACAGCCTAGATACCTGTGAACAGGCAAATGGAAGAAGAAAATATGAGATATAAATATAATGGGGTATTACTCAGCCATAAAGAAGAATGGAGTTGGGATCTGGAGGAAAATGGGTGGAATTGGAAATTGTATTAAAAACAAAAAACTAGCTGGGGACTGGGAAGAAGCAAGGACGGTAACCAGGAGGTGGGGAAGAGGCCCATAGGAGAGGAATGGAAAGAAAAGGTGGGGATGATTGGGGATGATTAGGATCCATGCCTCTGCCTGCTTCTCACAATAAACCCATCACTGTGTAATAACAGCAGTGTGAACAATCGTGATTCCTTAATTAAAAGTGATACAGGAATTGAAAAGAGACACGCACTTGCCCTCAGCTTTGTCTCGTTCCTAATCATATACTTCTTAAGATAAACTTAGAGCTAGGTTTTAGTTTCCCAGGCACGTTGACCAGCTGCACGCAGGCAGAGGAAGGCAAAGATGATTCTAGAACTGTGAATTGTGAATGACTTTTGGGGTCACCTCGTTATTCTCTTTCACTGTAACAGGTAAGAATATACTTTCCAAGAAGGCAAATAAATAGATAAGAGCAGAATAAGGACTTAAATTCAGAGGATTTTTCTGTTGTTGTTTGTTTTATTTCAGAGCTGGAGTCAATTTTCCTTGGCATTTTCCTCCAGTGACTTTATTAGAAAGGAGGAAACAGTCATTTGGAGATTAAAAATATGTTACAGATAATATACAAAACAAGCAGTCTGTACCTTTGACTGAATACTGTGTTAAAGCATTGTTAAATGTAAAATTTTAACTTTTGTTTTATTTGAATGGTTTGTTATTTTAATTGGCATCACTGAACACAAGCCTCATGCAAATGTCAATGAGGAAGCAGTACTCTTGGTGGTTTGTTCTTAGAGAGCGTCTTGATTCATTTAATTTCTGGGTTTTCTGATTCATTACTCCCTGATCCATAGTGAAATGAAAGGATCTGTATAATCTGAGTGTGTCTGAGTCAGCTTACCTTTTTCTTCTAGGGAGCAAGTTATACACTGGAATCGCTTCACAGGACTCCCACCCTGATTCATCTTTGCTTGTGATTAGAGCATTAACTCATCTAAGTCTAGAGCTCAACTTGGACCTTTTCAGTTATGAAAGTGATGTCCGATATTTATCTGATATTCTTTAATTTTGTTTTCTATTTTCCTCAGAATTTACATAGATGCCCTATGAGAACTGGTAAATTATATTAGAAGTCAGTAAAAAATAGCTCACGCTGGCATAGTTCAACTAAAAAAATCACCATTCTGGGGACAACTTCTGGCTTTTGGAGTAACTTTCACTCCATAATGAGAAGCCATTAGCTATGAAAACCAAGCCAGCATTGGTCATACGTCTAACCTTTTGCATGTATTAACAAAGTTTTGAGACATTCCTGGAAGCATGTGCTAGACTGAAAACTAATGGTAGTAGAGACCACTGTCTGTCTGTGGCATCTGCCATCAGTGCTAGCACATAGTAGGCACCTCACAGCTACTATATAAATTCTTCAAAGCTTCTTCATTATCATATAACCATGATATCAGGTTTCAAATGTGAACCCAATGTCATAGCTTTGGATTCCTAAATGCATATATCACTTTAATAAAACATATCACCTTTGAAAGTAAAAAAATGGTCTGCCAAGAAAAAAAAGCAATGGTTCTAAAAGACCGCTAGCCCTGTCCAAAACTAACGATTTTTAAAGAAAATATGTGAGTAATCATTAGTTATGCTAAACTCTATATAGCTCTTATCACCACAGATAAGAACCAATAGTGCTCCCATGAAGATACTGTCTGCTTATTATCCTGCTTTGATGTATACTTGAACTGATAAGATCACTAACCTACTTCTTAATTGGAGAAATGAATTAGGCTCTAAAGTCTATTTTCTATCAGGAAAGAATAGGTAAAAATACCCTTGAAATCTGTTGTAGCAGTGGAGAAAGAAAGGAGGAGGAAAGTTAGCAAAGTAACAGCTGCTGAAAATCTTCCACGCATCTGGTACTGCTGGGTGTTGTGACACACGCTATTTCTGAGCTTTAGTTGTATTTCAATTCAAAAAGCAAGTTCAAATTTCTGTATTTTAACAGCATCCCAAGAAATTACCATAGCATATAGTACATGCCCAATGTAGTATCTAACACATAGCACAACCCCTGAGACTGAACCCCTTTTCCAATCTCTCTACTTCTGTGGATTCTTAGTTCCATGAAGGTATAGAAGGTTGTTTTGCTTATATTCTTAAGAGAATAATGTAAACTTGGTAATGAGGCTCGAGCAATTTAACACACAATTCACAGCCAACCCACAGTCAGTCACCAGGGAAAATACTGTATTTGCAGGTTTACATTAAGCCAAGGGAAAATATGATTTCATTTGTAATTGTTGGTGGACACGAGCCACCTAAGTTGCACAAGTTTTAGCCTTTTTATGAAGTCAAATAATACTATGCATGCTCTTAATGTAACAACAGGCTTGATTCTGTGTCCAACACAAACAAAGCCGACTGGGTTTGAATAAAATCGGTACCAAAGTCACACATGGAAAATCTTTGCCTCTGGAGATTTTTCTTTATCTGGAAATGCTGAAAATTAGCTATGCCACTAAACATAGAAAAGCAACCCTAAGCCCCAAATCTCTGCTTATATTGGCTTTTGAATACTTCAAGCTGCCTCAGATATAGTTAGCCAGCCCCAAAATGCACACTTAAATACGATTCATTGGCTTCCTGTCTGTCTGGCGTTGTCAACAGGCTGTAAATCATGAAATTCCCCTAGGGTTGAAGACCCGCACCTGCAAGCCAAGTTAGCCACCAAATGAAACTGTTTTCTGTTCTCCAAAAAGGCTGTCACACTCTCCTGTCCATGATTAGCTCCGGACTTCATGTTTCTATTTTGTCTGCAAGGTTTTCACAAATTTATCTTGTCCATCCTGTTCCAACTACAAATCTTTAGTGCTATAGAAGGGAGGGTCTATTGTTCTCCAGCTGAGTAAAAGTTAAACTAATGATCCCAGAAAGGTTAAATCTATGTAAACAAACAAACAAAAATCTCATTCCTATGGACCTCAATCGTATAAAAATTAGGACAAATACACTGGGAAAGTATTTATTTTTGTGCCATTAAAAATAGTAAAGTGTTAGAGAAAGACTTTCTTGATTAACAACTTTCTGATGAAATTCTACGAATGGATTTCTCATGACTTTTGAGGCTGATCTGTATGATCCTCAAACTGGGGACCAAAGGATTTACACAACATACTTAATAGTCTTCAGTAGACTGCAGTTTTGAAACAAAGAAAAAATGTGGAATATATTTTATTAGTGTTCAAAGGACAAATTTTTGTAGACAATTGAATTTTGTGGACAAATTCTTTTTAAAGCAGGTATCAGTGTATAGATTCTCACAAATTCTCTTTTGCCCAATTTATCACCTATTTTGAAGCAATTTCAAGACACATTTATGTTTAGAAAAAATTTTGACCATGTGAGGTATATGAAATTCTTAGAAGTTAATTCAAATTCTTTAAAAAAGATGAATAATCAATAGTCTTGCTATAAGAATACTCTTCATTTAAATAATGCTTTTCTTCAATAGACCAGGGATTGAAACCAAAGATTAAAGGAAATGCTCACATAGGATTTTCTTTTCAGTCATCTGTTGTTCTCCAAATCAAAGTAGCACTCAAAAATCACAGTTTGACTGTCAGTTTGATGCTTGATTATGGCACCAAACTACTAAACAGAATTTTTCATTTTTTTATCAAAATAATCTCGAATCTGCAGTCAGCCTGTAAAACTATTTCTAGGAACTTTTTTTTTTCTGTTTCTGGAGATGAATGTCAAAATACTTTTATTAAAATTTGAGGTCTTACTGAGTTGCTTTTGCTGAGTATCTTATTTTTCATGAGACTGATACTTATTTACATTTTGAAACTGACATATTTCTGAAACTAGCAGAGATGCCACTCTCCAGTAATGATGGCTCTATTAGTTGAACTTAAAAATTTTACCAATGGGAATTAAAGTAAGTATTATGTCTCCCATCTTGCAGCTCAGAGAGTCACAAAACTCCTGGAAACCAGTTCTGAAGCCATGTTGATGTGTTTAAGATGATATTCATGAAATGTGGAGAAATAAATACTGAGAGCAAAATACAAGAAAGCATCCAATATCAGTGGTTAAAAAACACAATTCTCATAAAATTTCACTGAGGACTTTTTTTAAACATCAAAACTCATCTGTTCTATTTATAAATTAATATTGTGATTCTTGAGAGCTCTTCCAAATCCCATCTAGTTTTCACTGTTTTAATTTATTCAGCAGTGTAATACTCTGTAGAGGAGCTTGGGGAGGGTGAAGCAAACCTACAAGCATATGGACACAGATACATCCAAGGCGAAATTTAGAAGTAACATTACAACTGTGGTTGGTGGCTGGACTGGAACTCAGGACCTTGTGCTTGTTAGGCAGACACTGTGCCACTGAGCTATATCCCCTGCCCCAACTACTGGGCTTTAACACAAGAGTTTCTTAGTGAAATTTGATTTTATTGAGCTCTTGTTTGTAAAGTACAATTGAAATTTCATCAAATAAAAAAAAAAACCTTGAAATATATTCAGAGAGAAACTTACACAGGCAATGAATTCTACTTCAGTGCTCAGGCCATCTCACTGATTTTCAATTATCCAGCCTCATGCTGTCCACAGTAAAAAAGTAACACCTTGACTAAGATAACAACTTATTTTCTTTTCTCATTGAAAAGTAGGCAATACTTCTTCACACTCAAATGCGTGAGGAAGATAAAAAGCAAACATCACGAAATAAATGTGGAATGTAAGGGTTCTCTTGGCCTTTACTTAATCCCACCATCATATCGGTACTTTTTTATGACATGTTCTTTTTTTCATGGCCACAAAATGTGGTCAGACATGGGGTAGCCTGGAATAGTGACAATTTTCAAGTTTTTCATGATGAAGAGAATTCTGCAGATGGTATTTCATCTTACAACTGACAAGCCCAGTGGAATTCCTCTCCATTCCTTTTAATTTGCTTTATCTCTTACAGCAAAGGACAATTGAAGCCCAAGTCGGAAGCAACATGATTATGAAAGACGTTTCTCCTTCTGTTGATTAACCTGATTTCCCCTTTGATTTCTCAGCCATCATTGAAAGTTTTCCTCCCTCAGCAGAGTTTGCGTAATAAAATGTATAGTTACCAAATAAAATTATGCCTAGGAGGCAGGCAAATAATTAAGAAGTAAATGATTGGGAAATGACAAATTCCAAGTGAATCAGGAGACAGCCCAACTCTCTCCGTTTACCTTGAAACCTTCAGAAAGGCTTTGCTTAGTTGATCACCTACTGCAGTGAATGAAGCAGCAGCTATGCTTAGCTCAGGGCCTAATCACAGCAGACAACACTCAGAAGGTCCTAGGCTACTCCACACTTCTGCTTCTCTCATGGGAGCCTTTCAGGTGCAGTAGCTTACCCGCTGCGATCTGCCTTTGTGCCTGCTCCTCCCTGCTAACTTTCTTTTTCTTAGGGGAGAGCTTCCATTCCAGGTCCTCGGTTCTGCTGACTCAGTCTGTTCTTCCTGGAGGCCCAAAGCCCTAAGGGCTGGGGCAGAGGGCTGGGGCAGGGCCTGGGAGCAGCAGAACCTTGTCCTGCTCTAGCACAGAACTCAAGCATGGGACAGTGCTGAGGACAACAGTGCCCTAGGCAGCAGCAGGGACCAGGAGCTGGAGCTGTGATTCTCTCTGAGGCCGACACCGTGATGACTTTGTGGTACGGTGGGGAAATCCCCAAATACCACACAGTAGGTTTATATCTATTCCATGTTGATAATTTTCAGCAATATTTAATATGAACTAAAAAATACTAAAGCAGTGTCTCTCAGTTCAATCTCTGGGGTAAAATGAAATTTACATTTGACATACAGTTCACTAAAATTATAATGACAATAATAATTTAAAGAATTGGAAATTGCTCCTCAGTACAGGTTCTAATTTTCTATTGGATCGTGAGAGGAAAAATGGTCAGTGCATTGACAGTTGGCTTTCTAAGTATGCAGTAATTTTTTCACATCCATTCATTGTACTTTTCCTGTGATTTTCTACATTAATTCCCAGTTTAAGAACACATTACTACTGCTGTCTTACTGCATTATCCTGGTTCATCTGAGGATGGTAAGATATCAGTCAGAAAGCCCCTAATTAATTCTGAATTTTTATTCCGGATCAAGAGCTTCTCAAATATTTATATATTTATTTCTTACTCTTTGGTTTTCATAGAACTACCAGTCGCCCTGTCTATTGTTTTATGAAATAATAAGTGGGAACACATGAAACCAAAACAAGTTCCCTGAGCTATAAGGTCGCTTTCACTATTAATTTAGCTAAAATTATTTTTGTTTTTCTTCTTCTAGGAAAAAAAAGTTTTCACATATGTTTCTATGTAAGACTTCCTTTAAGAAAAATAGAATAATTTTAAAACCATCTCTTCATTTAGAAGTAGAAACTAAAAGTCTGAGGGGTGAGGTGTTCCATGCAGGATTTGAGGAAAAGGAAGTTGAAAATTATTAAATAAACAGAAAGCAAGGGTGTGAAGGAAGAAGAAGGCAGAGAGGGTGGAAATAGACTTAAAGAGAGTCAGAAAATTGTATGTACAAAATCCACTTTCATACCCTCTAGGAAAACGTTTAAAGGGAAATGAGATTGATTAAAAGCTATTAGCATCTGCTTAGATATAGTGCTTTGACAAGATCATGATGCTAAAAACATCCCTAACACACTTGTAGTTTGAATAACTGCCTCCACGATGTTCATAGCAATCATATTTAAATAAGAAGCTCCTCAGCATCCAAGTTAAATGGCAGTCAAGTAAAGCCATTCACCTTCTCACTTGCTTGGAAACAGAGATGAGATATTTCTTGACCCAGCAGCAGTAGCTTCACCTACCTGGCTGCAATCCGGCCCAGTTCCAGCAAACAGAGACACACTTCTCTTGGTTGCTTGTGGAGGACTGGAAGACAAGAAAGATGTGAATAAACACCTTTACAACAGAAAGGGCTGCGAGGTGGCTTGGGGATCACCCTTCACCCCAGTTCCTCACTGTTCCAGTACCAGACCTAGTTTGCCTTCTGATATTAATCCAAGGCCCACCCTACTCCCCAGTAAGCTGAGCTGTACCGAAGGAATTATGTAGATATAGGAACCCTGCCTACCATCCTTCCCCAAAGCTACTAGGCTCATAAATTCTCCCCATAATTTTCATCCTGAAAATACTTTCTTTAATTAGCTCAAGTCAATATTGGTTACATATGGAGTTGTAATCATGACATCAATGATTACTTTAAAACACACAACACACGCAAGACAATGGAACAAACATTGGACTTTTAAATATCTCAGGTCTGTACTTCCCTGGCAATTTTAGCAGAAATAATGCAATGAATCAGAATAGACCACAGTTCTTTGGGTGCTATGGTTAGTGAGACCCTGAAATTAGATGTCTTCTTCTCTTAATCGAATCTAATGGAATAGTACTTTAAAGTCAGTTTCACCTGGATGCATTCTGCCAACACTTGACAGGGTACCATCAGCTACCTCTTTCCATCAAATCAGTGAGTCAGAGGACTTCTTTGAATTTCTATTCCAATATATTTGATTTGATTATTTGTTAATCTGCTTTACCAACAGCTCTGGATACACAAATGAATGATGACAAATCATACCTGCATTTGCTGGTCTACCAGAAGAGCTCAGTCTGTTCTGACACTACTTTCTTTTGCATTCAAGGTTATTTTTAAATGTTAATACATCTATCATCAAGTAAAACAAAAAAGGTGTTGGAAAGATTCTGCATTAAGAACAACCTTTAGATAGGTTTATAGTTACTAATATAAGTCTTGCTTGGTGATAAACTTTAACAATATTGCTTTAATTGTTAAACAATTTTATAATAATCCAATTTTCTAGTATCAGGCTATTAATATAGACATTCTAATTCCTTCTCTCCACATATTATGGTAACAGCCTAATGTGGTCCACTGGCATCATAACGGGATTTGTTGGGGATATGTAGGAATAGGAAGAAATATTTTCCTTGACTTTAAATAGGTATACAAATTAATTATTATTTTGTAAACATCACTTCTAATTCTTTTTAATTACAGCTTCATGCTATCAACAATGTTCATTTTAAAATATTATGTAGTTTCTCTTATAGAAGAAATCCAAATTATACATAAAGAACAAAATAAAAGATAGCTAATAGGAATTAGGTCTTTCTCAAGTGAAAAGAGGACAAGAAATTGAGGAAGAGGGGAAAAGAGGGAAAGGAGGTGAGAAAGGACTGAAGGATTAAAATGTGCTAAGTACATTATCAAACCCACACAAAGAATGCAAACGTGTACTGTGAATTACAGAATACTTCTGTTCTTGATAATTTTAGACATTTTAGATTCAGTATCTAGTGAATTTTGACAAAATTCTACAAAGAAAAGTCTTGAGTGGAAAGCAATTTCAATCAAATTGGCTTCCCATGAAGATACTGACTTCTTTCAGCCCAAATGTGCCAGCTGGCTGTGGATAGGATAGAAAGACATCAACTTCAGCAGTCTTGACAGATTTAATCAACAGGAGTGCCAGGTAACTCACAGGCTGTACTATCACAGAATACCAATTTTAAACCCAAAATAATAACAAACATCACGAAACAGAAGTAAACAGAAGGAAATCAATACTTCTGTCTAGATGATCAATTTCTTTGGATTCAGGCTTTTTAAAAATCATGTTCCTGGTACAAAGTAACAAAAAGAAGTTTTGTGTGAGAGAAAGAACTACATAAAAGCTGAGAGAAAGACTCTTACTGCCCTGTTAAGAGCTTCATCCCAAATAAAAACTGTGTGAAGCAGGTAGATAACCATTTCATGCACATCGCTGAAACGTGTCAAAATAAGAAAACTACTAATGCACTGATCAAATGATATCAATGTGCATTATTAAGTATAAATAAATACCTGACACAACTATAATGACTTTTAAACCAATTATGTATTCTGAGGACTATAGAAGTATTAGTATAAAAATAGGATATATTTTATGGAAAATCATATTTGTTCCAAAGAAAAAGGATAATGTAAGCCATATAAGAAAGACAATTTGATACGGAGGGTATATCTGTTTGTATCCTCATTTATTAAAGCATTTTGCATGCCAAAATTCCAGTATTGATTCCAGATGGACTCATTAGAAAATCCGTTTGGCAAACTGAGAAGTAACTACATGATTCAACAGAACCAGCCTGTAGAATTCAACACAGATAAACCTCTTCCCCAGCATCTTTTCAGGACAGTGCTGACAGAATGACAGAGTTTTACTAACAAGTTCTCTTAGAATTACTTTTTAATAAAGCAATAACATTGCTTCAAAATGTAATACTGCCTTGCTTGTTAATGGCTTCTAACTATTAAGTATACTATGCTTGGTTTAAAATTGCCAAAAGCTTAGGGACCCATGATGTGTAAACAATAGATAAGATCATCACAGATGTGCAGAATCCTGGAGTGCGGTAATTCCTTGGTTACTGCCACACCTCGTAAAAGCACAGATGACCACAATCAGATGGTGGTGGTAACGCTTAGGACAGACCATACTCAGACTAAAGAAAGACTGAGATTATCTCTAGCTGCTTTAAAAATGGTGAGGGCTTATTATGTAGATATTTGTTGAATGTCAATGCAATCCTCAGCATATTGCTATGAAATTAAATTCAAAAGACTTTAAGCTACTACAGGTGGGTATATGATACCTAAGAATGGACTTTGACTTTTGCACTAAAGCAAATTCTAAATTGAGCTGAATAGTTGGAAAGTGTTGCAGTAATAGGACACAAATTACCCAGATCCCAGAGTGAATGTGAGCTCTTTCCTCTTCGTATCATTTTAAGAAGTTGTTCCATAAAAATTTCACTTTTCCAAGGAAAAACAATATTTCCTAGTTCAAAATATTTCCTGTGATGATCAAACAAAATCTTAACAATGTAGAAGTGCAGGAGGGATCCATTCATACTGTCATTCCTCTGGGAAAAAAAATCTCTTCAAACAGCCTCTCGTCAATAGCAATGATTATGCAAAAGGTTTTTAATACTGCATGCTGTTTTTTTTTTTTTTTTTTTAATAATCAAAATCAAGTCACAGCATAGTACAATGCAGAAGTCTTCTGGGAAAAGTCAGGCAGACCCCCATTCAAAAATATGTGGCGAGAGACTCAATCTCATAACCTAGATTCTATAAAAATCTCAGGGGGATCAAATGTCAACTGGAACACTGCTGCTAGTGCCAGCAACAGAAAATGAGGCTCTCAGCTAAGGCAGGGGATAGAGTTTCAATGTCATAGAATCTGCAAGGATTAAAATGCACCGGGCCATGAATGTATAGTCTAGCAAAGTATGTTAAGTTTCAACAGATGGGGAAGCGACAAAACCATGAAATATTTGTTGTCCATTTGTCTTCTATATAACTAGAGACTACAATATTTATGGTAATTTTGAAGGAAACTGCTTTTAGTTTTTTCCCTTGGAAGGAATGTGAAAAGACATTGTTGAATTACAAAAAATGTCATAAATTAATGACTTCAAATCTTAGTGTAGAGAAGAGGCTCTAATCTAGGAGAGTTTCCGGGCCGAAATAGTTGCCAACTGGAACTCCAGAATGACTGCAGATTCCACTCAAGGTTGCCTAAATTAATGATCTGTGAACAGGTGTCACACCTTCTATTTGCTTTTGTCAGTAAAGTAGCTATGCTATTAAGAGCACTTGCAAAACATTAACTAGTGAATGTTGCTCCCTCCACAAGAAAGAAAGGTTCAAGAAGTAGCAGCATGGATATCAAAGGATAGCTCATTAGGAATATAAATTATTGGGAACCAGCCAGCAGTACTGATTAGTACCTGCACTTAAACATGCTTTCAGTGTGCCGAGCATGCACATTGAAGTTTGATAAGCAAGCATATGCTAGTCATTTGTCACAGGAAGCGTCACCCTTACCTATTTTGCTAGAAATATTTAAATGTGCCGTGTTGCACGAACCCTGTTGTAGAATCCTGAGTGATGGCGGTTGGTGGTAGGTGAGTGGAAAGGAAATAACTCATACAGGGAATCATTTCTGTCCTGTCAGTATGTCTCTGCACCAAAGATGCTGGCCCCCAAGGTGCTCTGCCACCAAGATGGCCACCAAGTGCTCTGCCACATGGACAAAAACAGCAGAAAAATCCCTAAGTTGGAAGTGTAGGTGGTAACTAGGCAAAGCAATCAGGAACCACAAAACCCCGCTGAAGAAGCTGTGTCCCTTGAAATCAAAATAGAAGGAAAAGAAGCTGATCTGAAGCTAAACAGAAGGTAAAAGGAAACAAGGAAGAATTATACAAATTCATGAATGCTGAGTATCTAAATTCTTCCAAACTCAACAGAATAATTTAAAATGGAATGAGGCATCCCTATAACTCCTATAAAGGAGGTGTGCCCATTCCTAATCTCAGCAACGGGAGGTCCACAGAGTGCACTGTGTGTAGTTATCTGCTCTTTGCTCCAATTTGAGAAGTGGCCTGGGGCAAAGGCTTCTCTTTCACCCTCCCTCAGCTCCCAAGTTCAATTAACATGTTAACTGCTATCACTCAGAACTGTCCTCAGAGGTAAATCCTTTCTAAGTTGATTTTCTTTTTTTTTTTTTTTTTGTTTTTGTTGAAATCCTACCACCATTTAACTCAAAGTGTCAATTTCCATCACAGGAGGGCGTAACTTGGGACATCACACCCTGGTCTGGATTCAAATCTCAGCTAGGTAGCATGGAACACACAATAGCACTGAGAAAATGATTTCACTCTCCAGGTCTCAGCTCCTCTGTAAGAGGACGGCTGCTGGTAGCTGACAGACAGTTACCCAGGGGGGCTGCTAAACTGCTCTCTGCTGAGCTTGGACCTCTTGCCCACAAGCCTTGGTATAGTGAAAGCAGAATCCTAGA